ATCATATCAATACTTCTTCATGTTTCTGATTCTGGGCCCCTAGTCATATGCGTTGTTGTTTGAATGATTCATGGCTCAGGGCACCAAACGCAGCAGATGTTCCAATCTGGAGTCCAGCCATGATGAAACTGCGATCTGTGCAGTGAAACGCATTTGCATTAAAATATTTACCACATGCCGTATTTGGTGCCCCGAACCATGAATCATTCCAACAATCATGTAAGTTGTTACTCACTTGCCACCGTATTGAAAAAAACTTTTGTGCTCTTGCTTTTTGCTTAACGATCTTTGGTGCAATGTATCTTTAGTAGTATTCACGAATAACTGCAGACAGGACATGGAATCAGACAAAGAACCGGTCAGGTGAGCGCAGGAATGGGGAAGTTAAACCGGTAAGTGGTGATGACAAAAGAGCTGAGGAGTAGTGCGAAGTTATTTGTCCTCAAATATGTCCATTCATCAGCTCTCTCCAATGGTCGAAAGCAGATTTTTAATAAAAGTGTAGCACAAGTGGCAGCAGTGAATTTTGATAAATCTGAAAAAGTGATAGGAAATGTCATTTTTATCGGCGGTGTTGAAAAGTGGCAATTTGGTAGTAAATCCTTAATTCCGATGCGTTTATTGTTTTATGTATGCTTAGATGCTGAGGACCCAGCGCGTCCGTGGGTTGTTGACAGGGGAACAACGTCGAGATACGGAGGTTAGGTGCGACAAACGGCATTTCGCGCATCAAATGAAAGAAAGAAGAGCCCCAGGGAGTAACGGTCAGAGCAGGTGGTCAAAAGCTGTGGAAGACTCTAGCAGAGAGGTTCAGATGCTATCTGGAAACGAAAAAAACGATCATAAGCTGAAAGGAGATGAAAAACAGTAATGCTGCTCAAGAAGGGCGAGATGAAGATCTGAAGAACTATAGCCCAATCTGCCTAGTCTCAAAAGTCTACATGCTGTTCACTAAGATCAACAGACTGTCAACAAGTCTGGACGAACAGCAGCCAAGAGAACAGACAGGATTCCGAAAGTGCCACAGCAATTCCTTAAGTCAACTCCTCGAGTGCGCGAAACAGAATTCCAACTCTGTCAGCGCATAGCCCTCGTCGACTATGAGA